TCTTTGCTCGTTCGTTATTGTATTCTTTTATTCCCATTATTATATTCTTTTATTTGCTCAACTTTTATTCTTTCTATTCTCGTCTCCCTACATAAAAATAAATAAATTTATTTTGTTTTACTCCTCGACATCGATTCCGCATGCACACATGTACACTAAATAATTTCATATACTAATCTTTTTACACAGGCTTCCAAGCTGATTTCTATCAGTCTAGTATTATTCTTTCATGTTATCCCGAATGCGGGCGCTATATCTTTTGCACGAACAAACTGCAGAATTTTTATATTAAATAAGTATTGTTACGACCTGATGCAAGAGGCCGATAAGAAAACTGTAATTATTTAACTTTTTGGGGTTTTTTACATTAAATTATAGCGTCCACACATCGTTATTATGAGTACTTTAATTCTAGAAAAGGATTTTTCATTCTGTATAGCCAATAAAAAGATTAGTACTTGAACTCATTCTTCGCGTTTTTATCGGTAAAACAGATCTTTGAGGATCCCTTTAATGCGTCTGATTTCCACCTCAATCCGAAATTATACGATTTCATAAGTTATAATTAAACCTGTTTTAATGCAATTAAATTGGAATTTACCATAGTCAATCCATAGGTAAAAATAACCCCTCTTAATAAAAAATTCCATAATTTCGCAGATGAAAAGTAAATCGATTTTATGTAGTGTGAAGTCGGATTTGCTGTTATCATGAGTCACAATCGATTATTGAATCGGTGTTTCTGCAATTAAAACGGATTCAGTTGTTAAAGACAAATATACAATTTCTCCGTAAAACCGATTAAAACGGATTATGTTTTAATCGGTTTTAATCGACCATTTTCGGCAGGGGTATTATTCTTTCATGTTATCCCGAATGCGGGTGCTATATCTTTTGCACGAACAAACTGCAGAAATTTTATATTAAATAAGTATTGTTACGACCTGATGCAAGGGGCCGATAAGAAAACTGTAATTATTTAACTTTTTGGGTTTTTTACATTAATTTATAGCGCCCGCACATAGTTATTATGAGTACTTTAATTCTAGAAAAGGATTTTTCATTCTGTATAGCCAATAAAAAGATTAGTACTTGAACTCATACTTCGCGTTTTTATCGGTAAAACAGACCTTGGAGGATCCCCTTAAGGTTATATAGCAAGAAATCGCGACGTCAAGCAAAAATAAATAAATAAAAAATAAAAGAAAATACTTAAAATAAAAAATAATTTGTCTTCTTTGGTATCTTTTATGGTACTTTATTTATCTTTTTTGGCATCCTCTATGGCAATTTATGTTATATTATCTCACAATAATACTGTACAGTTTTATTTATGTAGAATTTGTAGCACGCTCGCCGTGATCGGAACAAATCAATCACAATGTTCACTTATTAAAAAGATTATTTATTTAACACACTATTCAACCAGCTGTTAATCCTTTTTCCTTTCCTCTCGTTGTTATTCTGATTCTCCTATGTTCTCCATAGAGACGCGCTCAATAACGGACCCTGTTTCACACGGCGCCCCAATAATCAAGGCGTGCTACAATTCGGCCAGACTGACATGGTTTGGTCCCCAAACCACAGCGGCAACTCATGACAATAAATGATATTAATAATAATATAAATTATCGGTACATAATGGAAAAGATTTGATTTAACAGAAAATACAACAAAAGGATAACACGGGATTGTGTTATATGTTTGAATCAAAAACACATCGTAGAACTTAACAATAAGCTATCATGTAACAATTACAATCTTTATATATTTTATAATTAAATTAATAACCTATAGACTATTTATGACTAATCTGGAGCCAGATCTTTTGGAGTTATCCAGGGACGGATATTACTAACATCCCAAGTGCCCGTATACAATTTTTGTGTATTTTGAAATCCTGGAGGATCCGTTATGATATATCGTTTATTCCTCAATACTTTAGCTATCTCATATGGACCACGAAACTGTGAAATCATTTTTCTACTTACTCCAGGCGTACTGTCGAAATTCTTTACCATAACCAAATCGCCTTTCTCGTATTTCTTTGGATCTTTGCGTTTTTTATCATAAGCCGTATTTTGCTGCTGTTGAGAACGGCTAATACATGCGGTGGCTTGCTCGCGAATATCTTGCAAATCACGTGTTGTCGGATTGATAGTTTTCTCCAGAAAACTTTTTAAATTGTCTTCGCAATCACCGCGTTGGTCAAATCCAAAAACTATTTGACTTGGGCTTTTCCCCGTAGATCTATTAGTCATATTATTAATGGCATATTTTACTTCATGTAAAACTTTATACCATTGTTTGCCATTTATTTTCCGACAGTTTGGCGATACTGGGTGCTACAATTCGGTTCATTCGTTCAACTTGTCCGTTTGCTTGCGGAGATCCCGTGGCTATTTTAATATGATTGATACTTTGCTCACGGAGAAAATCTTCAAATTCTTGAGAAATAAATGCTGTGCCTCTGTCTGATATTATATTGATTGGTTTATTGTAATTCTGGAAGAACTGTTTTAAACATGTTATGGCTTCGCGAGAGTTTGTACTTTTTGTAGGATACAATTTGATATATTTTGAAAATGCGTCCACTATCAAAAAGATATACTTTCTTAGAAAAACATGTTTATTCACTGGTCCATAATGATCAATGTGAAGCGTCTCGAACGGGATATTGCCCTTCAGAATGGGATTTAAATAACCTTCTAATTTTCCTGAAGGCGGAGAAAAAGATATACATTTAAGGCAATTCTTAACATGATTTTCACATTTTTCTCGAATCTGTGGAAACCAATATGTACGCCGAATAATATCTATCATCTTTCCGGCTCCACAATGGCCCATTTCATTATGATATCTAAACAAAACATGTTTCTCTATCTGCCGTGGAATTAAAAATAAAAGATTTTCACCGTGTTTTTTGTAAACCAGTCCATTTCTGAGCTCGTATAGAGGATCCTCCATCATTTCGAGTTTACTGGCTATTTCTTTAATTTTAGGATCCTTGCTCTGTAGTACATTAAGATTCCATTCAAAGGGGTTATCTTCGATAACTAAAACTCCAAAAGATCTGCTCAGAGCATCTACATGCGACATTCGGGAACTTGGTCGGTGTATAATCCTGAAATCAAAGTTCTGTAACTCTAAACTCCATCTAGCAATTCGCGCATTAATATCTCGCTTATCTAGCGTTTGCGTGACGGCGCTGCAATCAGAAACGATCACAAAAGAGATTCCTTGTAAATAAATTCTGAATCTACGCAGTGCATAAACAATTGCTAGTGTCTCTAGTTCGAAGCTGTGATATTTAGCTTCAGCCTCCGTTGTACGTTTACTGAAAAAAAAGATCGGATGTATTCTATTATCTTGTTTTTGCATCAAGATTGCCCCGAATCCCTGAGAACTTGCGTCACAATGTAATTCTGTATATGCCTTCGGATCATATATAGCTAAAATAGGTGATTTAATCAATTTCTTTTTAAGTAT